TTGTAGTATATACAGTATGAAGCTTTTAACCTACCAATCAAGGGCGACCCAGAGAAATACCCATCCCTGACTTCAACAAATTCCTCAATGCAATGGCGAGCGTCATTTGAGGTTGTAGTTGGATGGCTGTCATCACTCCGTGCGATGTTTGCAGGCAACACCATGCCCATATGCGTAAACGTTAGGTAGATGCGTTCCTCTGTATCAGCTACAATTCGCCACTGACAGAACACCGGATCTGAAGGAGTAGAATTAAGGCTGGAATTCCAAATCTGTCTTTGGAAGGGTAATGTTTTAACTGGTGACATTCCTTGACTTTTCTCTGCTCCATGAAGGACGGCATATTCCGACATTTGACTTTTATTGGTTTGTTGGACTGGAAGTTCGGATCCTTTCTGTCTGTCCTTGGCATCTGCTGTCTGCCGGAGTGCTTCCGCGTTTGGAGACGCAAAGTCGCCGGAGGTTTCTAATAGCGTCTGTCCGCAGGCTTAGAAAATGATAAAAGTAGTTTTACTCGTCTAACCGACCGAAATTATTTGATTGCAAAAGTCGTCTGGTGAAAGTTCACAACACTTATACATGTTTAAACTGATGAATCGGCGAGATCAGTGACGATATTTTGGGATGTTTAGTATCATTCTTCCAACTTCAGTTTCCCCAAAATTTAAGTTCACGTTGGATTGCAAGAGACGTCTGATAAGGCAGAAAATGCTATCCTCGCTTCCAGTGACTTTGTAAGTTCTTCGCTAAGCTTCAGACACAGTACGCGAACTAGCTCATGAAATCTGATAGCCGAAACTGATGCGAGCATTTTTGGACGTCTTTAAAGTTGTGCATTTTGCATGATCATTCACTTTCTTCAAAGAAATGTCCTTTTCTTGCGCAAAAATTGTGTTTTCGCAATTATATTAGGCAACATATAATATATTTTAGCGAAACTGGACGTTGCAATATATTCGTGTAAGTTCCTATGCTAATACATGTCCTAAACTCTGGTTACGCATCTGATGGACTTTCCCATTGAAAGGATAGTAGTTTACCCGCGAGAGTTTTAATAAGCAGATTTAATCAGACTTGGAAATTTATTTTATGTCCGATGTTAACCGTGGTACTAAACCTGCTGACATAAAGGTTATTTTAAGAAAACCAAAGTTTTTATCAATTCCCAAATGTCAAATTAGCAGATGTGTGCGATTTGTTGCCCTAAAGCGCAGTAATAACGCAGATGGGGATTCCTTCCTTTAGGTGGGCTGAAATTGTTTTGTCGTTTGCTAAATTCTACCTGATATCACATAAATGACCACCACCAAAACGTTATTTCCACTTTTAAATATACGAAACACTCCTTCCCCTGTAGTTTAGTTTCTGCGCATATCTCATTCAGAAACAGAACAAGCAAAACATTAGTAGTTTCAAAAAAATAGCTGTATTTCTATGAACGCTCTGCCGTACATTCATAACCGAAGAACGGAGTCTAAAAGCGAGAAAAAGCTGTGGAAATGGCCTCAATGCATAGACAGAGGCATGTACGTACGCTTATGGTTGAAAAATATTAACATTGTTAAGGAACGCGAAAGAGACGACCAAAAGTGTCAAATTTTTACTTGGCCTCACTGTGCAAAAATGTAAAGTACATAGGGATCCGTCAACAGAGTGCAGTACTAATGCACTTCTTAAATAAGTAACTTATTAACGAAAGTTTTTTTTATTGATGGAAGGCATTTTTCTCGAAAATGAAGTTAATGTTGGAAGTGCTGCATGCAATAAAAAGGGCTTTCGTAAATTTTGACCAAGACCTTTTTGGGAGATTTTACGGCACATTTGTTCGGCCCCACTTAGAATATGGCATGCAAGCATGGCGGCCATGGCTGGTAAAGGACCAAGCATGCCTCGAACGGGTACAACGGCGTGCAACAAAGCTGGTAAACGGTCTTAAAATCCATTCCTACACAGACAGACTGAATTGCCTTAATTTATTCCCTCTGTGTTATAGGCAGCAAAGAGGTAATCTTATGCTCGTCTACAAGATAATACATGGCCTTGAGTACGGACTTAAATTTGAGGACATGTTTCACTGGCACCTTTCACCCAATCTTCGTGGTCACTCGATGAAGTTACGGACAACAATGTCCAGGCTGAATCTCCGTTCTGAATTTTTCACGCAGAGGGTAGTGGAGAAATGGAACGATCTCCCTCAGTCAGTCGTGGAGGCTACATCCCTGCAACTCTTCAAGAAACGCTTGGATGATTATTTGTGTCCCCTGTTTTCCCTCGACAGTCTGAATCTGAATTAATACCCCTGGTCCAGACAAATATTTCCTCTCAGACAATGCTACTCAAATAAACCAAGTACTGTTTTTATAGTGAATATTTTTTGTTCGTGTACAGTTATTTCTAACGAACTGACATGTAATCAATAGGGTTTTCAAAGGCTTTGCCTATTATCCTTACCAAATAAACTGAAATAAACTGAATAACGCTCCTCATGTGATTCAAACGACCATCTTCGTGAAAAAGAGCACCCGAACATTTACTAATTCGGTAAAGGCCTTCGAGTATTATCTTATTTTAAAGTTCTTAATAACCAGTTAATGGAGAATCTGTCTTTATGAGCGATCGGCTGAAAATACTAAAAATCATGAAGTATTCAGCAATATTTCGAGGCCGAGCTGAAACTCAACGTAATCCAAGACGAACGAAGAGTGTAAAATATTTTAACAGAAGAAAACTTCTCTCTAAAAACACAAAATAGTATTCATATTGACCCAACTGTGAAAAACTCGCCGCTGAGCTTTTCACAGTTGGGTCAATATGAATTATTCAAAAATCAGCCAAAATTCCTATGAATTACGTGAGCCTGGTAGTCATCTGGTGGATTCTAGGTGAATTACTTAGGAAATCCTGCTTGGGCAGCAAACTTACTGTATCAGATTTGGTGGATTCCAGACGTTGCAGTAGATTGGGCGGGTAAACTTGACCCAAATGTGATTAAACTCGAGTCGTCCGGGGGGGCTCGTAGCTCACGTGATTAGAGCGTTGGCTGTACTAAAGCCTTCTCCGTACTGCGTGGGTTCGAATCCCACCGAGGCGCCGAGTTTTTCACAGTTGGGTCAATAAGAATTATTCAAAATCTGCCAAAATACCTCAAAATAGTATGTTTACGATCTCGCCCGTCAGTTTTGTTCAAATTTACTATGTCCCTAATAACAGCCTAACAGCATGTCACCTTAGTAAAACTTCTTGTTTATACGACACCCCCATCGGTGAAATCAAGCGAAATCCAGTTTCTCTTGTTGAACCCCATTTCATTTAAAGAATTCCACGAATCCCCGGAAAACTGTTTGGAATCTACACTCAGAATGTTGGCAGTTGTCAAACCGTCATATATGAAATCACACTAATTACTAAATGATGTTTAGATGTAAACTTCACTGAAACACCATTTTTAAACGTTATTGTATTGCACTTTTATATTTACTACGTTTTGGCTTGAGAATATATTCTATACATCTAAGAACGAAGATTACTAAATTGGAACCATTTCTGACGTTTTCGGGATATTGCGTTTTTCTAAAAAATTGACATTTCTTAACAACTCAAAACTGGCTTTAATATTTCTTCTATGCTTTTAATTCTTCTAAACTTGTACCTAATTAACATAGATATCAGACTCATGAAATGGTGTTGTTTTGCGAATGATTGGCAATCATTCGTAAATTTCGACAAATTTCATGAGTGAGGTAAAGCACTGTACTACTGACGGTTCGACTATTGTGACCGGCGATGTCCACTGTGGGCTCCACAGCGTTATGGGCGTGGATAGGGTGGCTTACGCATAATTTCCTTTATAATGATGGTAGATTTTCGTCGAATCGACCGCATTCTCTCCACCTTTCCCACCTAGACCCGGTGTCAAGACGCAGTCAAGAAGATCGGGAGCGGGAGAGGGCGTATGTGGTTGGAACAGCTGGTCCCGCACCCTCGCTTACGGCCACACTCCTTAGTCCAATACACACACTTGGGCTACCGGATTCCGTCATTCGTGTACGATGAGATTGGAAGCCGAGACTTTTGACCAGTATACAGGCGCATAGCATTTGCATGGCAACGTCCTTCTTCAACACCTGGCCAGTCGAGCTGTGATGCACTCGGGAGCTGCCAACTGCATGTAGCGGCCTAGCAATTACATCCTATGAATGTTGCAACACCTGGGTAATCCATTCCTATTATCTGACCCTGTCTCCGATGATGGATTCGCGTGAGGATTCGAAAGGTCAAGCTAATAAAGCACTTGTCCCAGCGAGCGCGTCTCCTTCTCCGCCAGTTACCGCACTACCTCTTGTCTCACGTGGGCCTGTGTCAAGTAACAATCAAGAAGACCGGCACTGCGGGACCCCCAGAGACCCTGGTTCATAACAAACAATTGACTAAGATTTTAAACAACAACGAAATGAGCGGCAGCTTGTGCGGCCTGAACCGCTCTAAGGCATGCCACTAAGCAGGTTTTGAATCTCACAGTGTGTTAGAAACCACAAAAAATGGGAGCCATTGCAACTTGACCTCGAATATCCGCTCATGCTTAGATAAATGTACATAAACATTAAAGAAAATATATTGAGAAAATTTACAGGCTTTGTGAAGAAGTGGCACGATCGCTGTGACAAGAGCTTTATCCGTCTGACGTTTCGGATTACTGTTCGAACCCATCATCAGAGACAAGAACAGATACCGGTGGTTGATGCCCAAGGGACTGCAGTATTCATAGGATGCAGTCGTCGTGCTACAAAATACCTATGAATATTCACGGCTCCCCCCTCAATGAGGGATCTTTGCACTTGGTGTGATGACTGTTTGATGGCCGATATTCGCGTCGTTAATTGCTGCAATTTCATCACGTGCGTTGGATATTGGTGTGATGACTGCTGGACCATCTGACGCAACGACCCTGGTGTTGGGAAAAGTGCTAACTTCTGTGCTCCCCGCATGGCTTGTTACTCCGCCTAGGCGAAGTCTAAGCACCGCGTATGAAGGAGAAGTTCGTCGTAATTATCAACGTACTGGGGGCCAGTAAACCATAACTCAAGCAGCTCACGGCCCACGCGGTTGTCACCTGTGGCGAGAATTTTGGCCTCTTCGAATTTGAATGTGTTGCCGGATCGCCGTCGAATGAGCTGCAACTTGAGAGCTGGCGTCATGTCATCGCACCGCTGCAGCGTGTTTGACCAGTTGCCTTCGGAGCTGTCTTCCGGTTTCGCCGACGTAGTTGTCTTGTCCGCGACTGCACCAGATCCGATAAACGACTCCAGACGTTTCTTGTCGTGGCAGTGGGTCTTTCGGTTTCAGTACCTGACTCCTGATGGTTGCCTCCGGTAGGTGTGCAACTCCAACCCCAAGTGGTGCGAGAAGGCGACCGACAGCTTCCGAAACGTTCTTGACATATGGAAACGCCCGCCAAGATTTGGTGATCGCGCAGTTAGTCCTCTCGTCCCTTTTTGTGTATCCATCGGTTGACAAAGTTGCGCGGGTAGCCATTAGCTTTGAAGACCCCTCGGAGGTATTGTAGTTCGGCAATCTTGTCTTCCGACTCACTGCAATGCGTTTCGACATGCCGATATTGTGTCCTTACACAACTGCGTTTGTGGCTGATTGGGTGATTGCTGTTGAAGTTCAGTATTTGCATCGTATTTGTCGCTTACCTGAACACTTTGGTCTTTATTCTACCACAATCCTTGTGACATACGAGGACATCCAGGAAGACCAGCTGGTTGTTTTCGTCGTCGTCGTCGTCGTCGTCGTCGTCGTCCTCCTCCTCCTCCTCCTCCTCGTCCTCCTCCTCCTCCTCCTCCTCCTTCATCGCAAATTGTATGTCAGTTGATCAATGGTCGATAACAGTGAAGGTATCATCCACGTACCAGGCCCAAAACTTCGGTATTTGGTGTCGGAAGACCAGCGACTCTAATCGTCGCTAGGTTTGCCGGTTTCGGGATTCATCGCCGAGGCATTAAATCTACATATCCTGTACTTTACGCATAACTGAAATAAAACATTTTTCAATGCCATCACGAAGACGTCGTGGAGAAGTCACTGAATTTCGCAATAGTTGTTGAACATGTTCTATACTTTATAATACACCCTTATAAATATACTGGTGCGGCGATGTGTGAGTAACCACTTTCCAGTCTCAAAGATCACATTGTGAGTCACGCTTTTAAATAGAAAAGGCAAATTCTTCAGGTTTAAAATTCGCGGAAGTGGTTTTCAACCAAAATAGCGGAAGATAAAGTATTCTTGTGCGCATTTTTATAAAACACATTTGCATTTAAAAAGGAGCAGAAATCGATACAAAAATGTATACTTTTACGCAGTCATATTTACCGTGCAAGATTTTCGCTGGTAGCCAACGAAGAATGCATTCGAAAGCCAATATCCTGGCAAATCTGGAATATCACTGGTTTATTCCGCAAATCAATAATCACTGAAACCCCACCTAAATAATCCTTCCCGCGCGAAAATGCCTTCCTGAACTTCGATTTGTCTTCCATGAGGTCGGTTATCAACTACATAGATATGTATGTGACAGTGGGCGCTCAGCGATCAGGTTACGGAACATTTTCTTTCCGTTGTGCCTTTATGGCTCATTCTAGAACCCTCGTAGGCAGTCACACAGTGACTAGTAGTAGACATAATTAAGATGGAGCCGACAAAGAAAAGGGAGACCGGAATGGCCATTTCTGGATTATTAGCTGTATGCAGCCTAATCGGCCACAATGACGATATATTGGCAAAATGAAAGTTCCCACTTGTGACGAAATAAACAGAGAAGAAAGTGAACTGGTCAGACCAAATTGGTTTGCCCGACAAGACAGCCACTGACAGTCAAGTAAATGGTGTGTGGAAGGGGGGCCACATAATAAGGCTAGGATCTGGAGCAGGCGAAGGAAGGGGGAACCATTGCGCCGTGTTGAGGGGTAGGGAAGATGGCGATTCAATGGGACTGAAGACAGGGAACTTGGTGGTCGTCGATCCGGCATAGGGGCAGAGGTCAGTGCGCCAACGTAGGGGGTGTTAGGGGTCACGGTTGCGGTTCGGTGTGTTTGGGGAGGGGTTGGCGATGTGGTGAGATTCTACATGGCCGTTGGCAAGTTGACGCCGGTTTATACGCGATCTAATTCGTCGGCCTGTACGATACACATAATCGCAAGAGCAGTTATCAGGCCGAATGCTGTAGATGACATTTGTTTGCCGCTCTTTGGGTATGGGGCCTTTTACTCGAGATAGTGTTGTGCGCAAGGAGGACGCCGGCTTGTGGACAATAGAGACGCCAAACCGGTTTAGTTATTGGGTGATCGCTTCAGAAATGCGGTCTTTCGTTACTGCAACAGCGATTATCTGCCTATGAAAGAACTCACTTTCTTTATCGACTATTCCGACTCAACGGATACCTAGACAGTTATGTGAAAAACTGCCCCAGGAGACAGAGACAACCGTAAAGTTTAGGTTGTAACGGAGGACCAGAACTGCGGAAATTTTACTCACTGCTCTAAATGTATGGTATCCGGAAATTCTCGACATTCCTCTGATTTACGCAAATATTCACATGTTATACATAAAACTCAAGTTGGTAATCACGTGTTTTTCGGTAAGTCTTAGCCAGACCAATTCAGTTACATGAAAGAATGAAATTGTAAAAATCAGCAGTGATTAGAGGTGATTTAAGGGCTCTTAAATCACTAACACTCATCTTCCACACGCCGCCAGCATGTTTAAGTTGGCGAGTTTTGGTCCTCAGAGCTAGGGGAGGGGGATAAGAGAGTCTTTTAGTGATGTTTTTGGATTGAGTACACGGAGTACCCATCAATGTAATCAGAGATTTGAAATGGCATGTTGTCATCCCTTGAGGTTGACGTTGGCCACGGCAGAGAGAGCATTTGTGTCAGGGTTTTCTGACAGCATAACACTGGATTCGCCAGCCGTATAGTCACTGCCTCGGCCGTTGCTATTATCCGTTGGCGTGGGCTTTTATAGAAGGTTGTTGGCGTCCGGTAGGCAACTTGAAATGCTTCTTGGTCGGTGATTTGTGTTTTATGCGCGAATAGAACTAGAAATCGACTTTTTAGGCCTTGATACTCTTATAAACACTGTTGATTTTGTACACTTTCATTCATTCGTGTAACTGTATTGGCATGGCGAAGAATTACCGAAAAACTTGTATGCCAACTTGACTTTTAAAGTGTAACATGGGAATATTTTCGGATCTTCGATAGTCAATACGGCCCTCGGTGTTAAAGGAACTCGGTGGATCCCTCGAGCTTAACACTAGACTTGCGGAGGCACATGTGACGGGCAAATTCTTTTCAGGATGTATTGGACGAAGTGAATATCCCAAATACTACTGTAAAACCTCACGGAGAAATCATATCGCCGCAAATTCAACTGCATTAAAAAGACATGCGGAGAGCCACCTTGAGCCAGTTTATGCCGTAATCAAAGAACTCCATCGCAAATTGCGTCAGGGGGCAGTGACCTTTGACCGTCTTGAAAACCATGAGTTACTGGCATTTAAGGACTATGTAGAGTCAGTCAGAATTGAAAGAATGGGGACCAAGTGCATTAGGCTCCCACGAATCGTCCAGTCAGTAAAAGTTCAGACCGTCCTTCCGAACAATCCGGAACGGTACGTGCGTAACTACCCTTCAGTTCGTCTTGATAAAGCTCTCGTAGGGGTTCTAGCTCTTAGCACTTAGTTTTGTATTGCACGGCGGATGTCGAAACAATTAGAGACAGAAATCCAGTTTGAGAATCTCTTTAATCAGACTTCAGATCTCAAACCTAACGATCCTTGAGAAGTTGATTGTCTTAAGTTGACTCCGGTTAACTGCTGCCCTAAATATCTAAGGAAGGCTCCGATAAAGAAGGGTCCCTGTATAAGGGCTCATATCGATGGCTTTAGGGAACTTCGTAAAAATAAAGACATTGTGCTAATCAGATCGGAAAGGGTTCAGGAGTAGCATTAATGAATAGAATGGATAATGTGACGAAAGTCAAGAAAATACCGTCGGATCTTTCGAAGTTTTTAGAATCCGAGACAGATAAGGATCTCACAGACGATGTCGAGGGTCATTTGACGACTATTCTCAAAGATCACTGCAAAGAAGGTCATTTATCTAGTAAACAGCATGAACGAATGAGGCCGGTGGGCACAACAATACGGAAAATGTAGGCTATTCTTAAAATTCACGAATAAGGACTGCCCCTACGTCTAATCTTGGATATGAGGAATTCGCCCTATCACATCGCCGTAAAATTGGGGGGGTAAGACCGAAACCACTGCAAGGTTATTTGTACCCTTGAAGTTTCAAAGGCTCCTTTGAGATCGTCGAGGCCATCAAAATATTAACGGTAGCGGACGGAGGATGTTATCACTGGATGCATCATCGCTGTTAACCAACGTACCCGTGTTAGAAACAATAAACTATCTTTGTGATGTTATTCGTGATACGACCTACCACATAGGCAAGAAAGTGAAAACACTAAAAGAACTACTGACGCGTTGCGCACAAAACGTCCAGTTTCTGTGGAATGGTCAACTATACAGACAGGTAGATGGCGTGGCAATGGGTTCGACTCTTGGACAGTTCCTTGCAAATATTTTTATGGACAAAGTCGAGAAAACAATATTACATGATACCATTGATGAACGTGTTTTCTACGGTCAGTACGTGGATGATATCTTCTGCCTGGCGGATGGTACGACCGATATCGACGATCTTGTCCAAAAGTTCAGCGATGTGCACCCCGCTCTAAAGTTCACTGCAGAGTCCGAAACAGATATCAAAATTACGCTTCTCGATGGTCTATCCAGCGCGGGTGTCCCGAAGGATAACCTGGACGGAACAATACACTAAGTTCCACAGTTTTATTCCCCTCAACACGAAACGAAATCTAGTCCAGGGATTGGCAGCTAGAGTAGAGCGCATCTGCTCACTTGAAACTATTGGAGCAAAGCTCCAGCAACTGCGGAACACACTTCGCGAGAAGGGATACCCAGATAGGTTTGGCCTCCGAAATATTGGGGAACGCATTGCAAAGATCACTGCCGAGACTGTAGAAAACGGAGGTGTGTTCATAAAACTGCCTTTTGCAGGGGACGCAGCTAGCGAACTATCTAGACAGCGCTAAACTGCGGCTATCACGAGAGCATTCCCTGCGGCAAATTTACTCGTATTCTTCATAAACTCTTCTCCCATGCGTTTGAAAGGTAAAAGCAGATTTCCGTTGTAGGCGACATCAATGTGCATCTACGTATTCACTAGCTCCTGTGGAGCGGGATACATCGGCCGTACAGCGAGACGCCTGGTAAGGAGGGTGCGTGAATATATGCCCGCCTGGCCAGATAGAGGTGAAACCCGATCGATTTCGTGTTCTATTTTCGCCCAGTTAATCTATACGAATCCCCGAGCCGATGCCGAGAAACGTTTCATGTTGTCTACCGGACGCCAACTACCTTCTATAAAAGCCCACGCCAACGGATAATAGCAACGGCCGAGGCAGTGGCTATACGGCTGGCGAATCCAGTGTTATGCTGTCATAAAACCCTGACATAAATGCTCTCTCTGCCGTGGCCAACGTCACCCTCAAGTGATGACAAGATGCCATCTCAAATCCCTAATTACATTGATGGGTACTCCGTGTACTCAATCCAAAAACATCACTCAAAAACTCCCTTATATCCCTCCCCTAGCTCTGTGGACCAAAAACCGCCGACCTTGGTATGCGGGCGGCGTGGGGATGATGAGTGGTTATGATTAAAAAGCCCTTGGAACACCTATAAATACTGCTGATTTTGTACAATTT